AGTCTTTCCTTCTACTAAAATCATATGGTCAGGAAGACTCTGAAGATAACCAGAGCCTTGGAGGGCCAGAGAAAGCTAGGGAGAAGGGGTTGTGGGGCCTGTACCAGCCCTTCCCTCCACCTCTGCCAGGACTCTCTCCTGGACTCCCAGAGGCAGTTCCTGCTGTCCGTGCTCCTTCCATTCCTGTGGCCCCTGGCTGCTGGGCCTTGGAAACCCCACGCGGCACTGACAAGCCACTGTTCGAGGTACCACCTTCTATGCCCGTTGGCAAAGCTCAGTGACAGATACTGGCAGGAAGGAGAAACCATTCAAATGGCAAGTAGAACTAATTTTAACTACCACAACAGTCACGGCTTCTCCTTCGTGCCTTCTCGAGGAAGGACACCCAGGAATGATGGTGTGTGATTGTGCAAGTCAGTCCACTGAGCAGGTTCACGCCATCCTGCACTGAGCTCTGGCAGGCTGACCTCTCCCTGAGTCAGCCTGCTCCAGGCCCCTAGATGCTGAGGGTCCTGGGCCCCGGGCCCAGGGCTTGGGCTGTGTATGCAGAGGCCTGGACTACATCCTGACCCTGCTTCTCCCTCACTGTGAGGCCTTGGCAAGCCCTGCCCTCCCCCACCTCCAGGGGTCCACGAGGTCCTAAAAGTTGGGATTCTGTACCCATAAAAAGAAGGAAACACTGCCCCTGCTCCAGAGGTGGAGAGCAGGTAGGTGGGAGGCAGGTTCTATGGTAGGGATATTAGTTCCAGAGCCTCAGTGCACCCCAGCCCTGGGACAGATCCCCTGCTCTGGTTCTCAGGCTGTGGCTGCCTTCACCTTCCGCACTTTGCTTTGTCTACAGCAGACCCCACCTAAGCAAGTAGAAAGCCTAGAGCATGAGATAGAGGTCTGTCCCTTTGTCACTCACAAACTCAGTGACCTGGAATAAGTCACTTCTGCTCTGTGAGCCTCACTTTCTTTGTATAATTGGGCAGTTCCTATCTCAAAGGCTTATTGGCAAAGTTTTTTTCCAGGGATGAATGCACAGTCCCTGCACAGTGCCGGGACGTGGTCAGGAGCCATGTCACTGGCACCTTTGCATGTCACCTCCCCGACAAAGCACGGAGTGACAGGCCAGCGGAGGGCTGAAGCAGAGTCTGGAATGGGGAGGGTCTGGTGCTCTGTCCACCTCTGTCCTCCTATCCTTCATTCCTCAGGAACTGAACGCACCCAGGCTGAGTGTCAACTGCTTACGTGTTTCAGATTTCTCTTAGACTTAGAAACTTTTTTTTAAATCTGAGAAAAGTTCTGTTCACTGAAACGCTTAGGCCAATGAGCTGTTCTACTTTCTTAGCTCCCTAATTAGGAGCTAAGCACAGGGCCTGGGGCAGTAGTAGCCCTTGGTATAAACGCCAGTGTGGTAGAAGGTAAAGTAGAAAGTCTCTCTTCCCCCATTGCCCTCCTTGTGAAGATGGTTCTAAAAGGCAGTGGTCCCTTTCTCCCTTTAGTAAAGAGGGTATGGAAACTTCCAGAATGTTTCTCACCTTTGAGGATTTGGAGCACCTTATAGCCCCCACACAAACTAATCCAAGAGGATGATGTGGCACATGCAGGAAGTCAGGGGACCCTGCCTGCACCCAGCACATGCTCTCGCCACTGCCCACTTGGATTTTCCATCCCATCCTTTGTTTTTATTTTGTTTCCCTCTGCCTCTGTCTCCTCACAGCCGCATACGGTCCTCCTGACCGGGTGATGAAGGCCCTGTCTCCAGCTAGATCTGGGCTTCCCGCTTGTCAGCCCTCAGTTCAGCCTTAATGTTGCCCGAAAAGCTTGTGAAGGGTTGGAAGTAAATGTTGGGGCTACAGCAGGACTTCAGAAACTTGTTGAGGTGCACTGTTCAGTTCAATGCAGGTCCTCATCATTGGGCAGAGAGTCTGCGCAGGTGGCCGTGCCTCTCTGCCTTTCCCATCAGCATACCCTAGATTTGGGCCCAGGGGGACTGTAGGAATTCCAGGTGGTGACTCTGGGTTTGGGGTAGCTTAGGAGCTGGCCTCACACGTGGAGTGGTACCCTCGACACAGGGGGCCTTCTGCAGCCTGAGCAGAGAGAGCTTCCAGCCTGGCTTCAGAGCTCTCTCTGCCTGGGCTCCCTGCAGCTTAAGGCTTGGAAGGTGTCCTCTGTGGGGCAAAGGTTTTGTCACCACACACAGGCTCTGGGGAGGCTATACACGTACATTCACTGTGGCTCGGGTGCAAAGGTGAGGCTGCCAGGTGATGGTCTGCATGAGCTGGCATGAGTTACTCAGCTTCTTCATCTGTAAAGTGGATGTAAGTAACCACACCTCAGTAGAATAGAAAGTCCAGAAAGAGTCCCAGAAACAGGAATTTAGGACACATCTGGGGTCATCTCAGTGGTAGGGAAAAGATAGCTCATTCAAGAAGTGGACAACTTGCCACCTAGAAAAAAATTAATTCGATCCTAACCCTAAACCTTATATTAAAAAAAAAAAAATCCAGCTAGATTCAAGATTTAATTGTAAAAAATGAAACTGAAATTATAGCAAGAGAATATGCAAGAATTGTTTTTTTTAGATCTTGGAGAGGGGAGGTCTTTCTAAGCCCGACAGAACTGAGGGAAGCTCTACAAGGTACAGACCAATACATTTCCGCACAAACAAGGCCAACGTGAAAGTCAAAAGAGAAATGATGAACTGGAAAAACCAATTGTCTAACTCTATTTATAGATATATAAAAGGTGTTAATTTCCTTACTTTATAAAGAATTTCTCCATATCAAATATAGAAAAGATGAGCGCCTCCATAGATAAACACACAAAGGCTGTAAGGGGGTCATTCCTGGAAAAGGAGCTACGGAGGCTCCCCACGCGTGTGGTCCTAGAGCGTACGGACAGGAGCTCTGGGCCAAATCCTGGCCCCGTGCTTACATATGTGACCCCCGTAAGTTATTCACACGCTCTGAGCCTCAGCTTCCTGAGCTGTGAAGTGGGGGTAACAATAGTCCCTTTTATTAAGTGGGTTAACAAGTGTCAAGCATGTGGAATGTGGAATAGGGTGGTAATTGCTATGTACAGATTTGACTGATAAAACCTGAAAAGATGTGGGAGTGCCCCAATGAGTGGGATGCTCTTACGATAAGAACTGTGTGGTGATAAGCCATGTTGCTGACAGTACGAGGAACCTAGCACTCCTATCACTGACAGGAGTATAAATATGTGTTAGACTCCTGAATGCACATAACCTTTGACCAAGCAATCTCCCTTGATAACCATCCTAGAGATGAAGCACATATGAGGGTATTCGTGCGGGACTGTTTGTAAAGTTGAAATGGGAAATAGTCCCCCTTCAGTGGGGAACTGATTGAATAATTTGTAATATGTCCCTAACCTGGATGATCATGCAGCTTTGACAAAAAGAGGCGGGTCTACCTATACTGATATGGAGCAATCTCCCAGATACAGGCATACCTCGTGTTATTGCACTTCGCTTTATTGTACTTTGAAGATACTGCAATTTTTGCAAATTGAAGGTCTGTGGTAACCCTGTGTTGATCAGGTCTGTCAGCGCCATTTTCCCAGCACCATTTACTCATTTAACGTCTCTGTGTCACATTTTGGTGATTCTTGCAATATTCCAAATTTTTTCATTATTATATATTTTTTTTAAGACTTTATTTGAAAGAGTGAGCGATCCTGATGCAGGGCTTGATCCCAGGACCCCGGGATTATGACTTGAGCTGAAGGCAGACGCTTAACCAACTGAGTCACCCAGGTGCCCCTCATTATTATATTTTTATGGTGATCAATGATTATAACTCACTGAAAGCTCAGATGATGGTTAGCATTTTTTAGCAGTATTTTGTAATAGACCGCAGTATTGTGTAAGCATAACTTTGATATGCCCTAAGAAAGCAAAAAATTCATTTGACTCATTTTATTGCAATATTCCCTTTATTGCTGTGGTCTGCAGCCGAACTCAGAATATCTCCAAGGTATGCCTGTGTATTAAGTCATAAGAATAAGGTGTCGAACAACATGTACAAGAATTCCGTTTGTGGGGAAAGGAAGCTGGCTCTGGAGGGATATCCGGGAAAGCAATAAGTTGCCTCTGGGGGCACGCTGTGGCTGAAAGCGGGGCAGAACCTGTGAGTTTTCATGGATCATAATCTGATAAAACCTACCGGGCAACACTCCTGTGAGGAATAAAACATCCTCATAGAGGATGGCGGGCAGGGAGCAGCCAGATCTGAGCGCCACCACCAGACACGTGGCCTCGGCATGGTTTTGACCTGTGTGCCTCGTTTTCCTCATCCCTAAAACGAGGATGAAGAAAGCCCACCGGGGTCGGGAGCGTGAAATGGGGTGGTCCGAGTCAAAGCCTCAGGGCCCTGTCAGTAGCAGGCAGGTGTGCAGGAGGCGCCAGCCCCCCTCCTCCCCATCACATTCAGTGGCCCAGCTCTGGCGCTCCCCAGCTCCCGGGCCACCCAGATCTGATGTTTTTGCTTTGAGACTCCTCTCCTCCTTGGGGTGAGTCTGGTTCCTTGGCTGCTCACCTGACGTGGCTGCTTCAGCCTTCGAGTTAGGAAAGCAGGTCTGTGAGGAGGCTTGGGAGAGCCCCCCTGGGCTTCATCTTCGAGGTTGTGGAACCTGCCCCCCAGAGAGGCGCATGCACTCAGAGCTGGGCTGGGGCTGTGGGCGGGACTGGGCACACTGTGCACCCTGGGCCCTGTCAGCTCTCGTCCGCAGCACTGCCCTCTGCACGTTCCAGAGCCCCGGCACGGCCCAGCTCGCCCGGGAGCCGCCCAGGCAGGAGTGGGCCGACTCGTCTGCGGCTCACCTCAGCCTCCTGCCTGCACGAGACCTCTCGGTGGCTGGCCCGCCCTCCACAAGGAGCCCGGGATCTCTGTCCCCCTCAGTGCCTCTAAGTAAAGGAGAATTTGGTGAGGGGCCACGAGAGGCTGCCACCAATTTGGGAGGGTGCTCACGTCAATCTCTTCTGCTGTCAGGGGTCTAACGTGATGGAAGAGCAAGACCTGCGAGAGATCGGCATCAGTGACCCACAGCACCGGCGGAAGCTGCTGCAGGCGGCGCGGTCCCTGCCCAAGGTGACCACTGACGGCTCCGCAGCCTCGGCCGAAGCCAGGGCCGTCTCCCGACCCCACCTGGACCCGGAATAGGGAAGGAGCTTGGCTCCAAACAGGGCATGTAGATCACTGCAAGGTGTCTGCCCCACATCCTGGGGGACCCAGCAGGCAACACAGAGGCCTGTTTACTTTCTTGCCAAGTCCCAAGGCCCCAGAGAGTCAGCAGAGACTAGGGACAGTTGAGGACCCAGTCTAGCCTCCAGAGGGAGGCTCCAGGCCTCTGCATAGCACAGGAGCTGGTACCCACAGGCTTGACCTGTCACCCGGAGCCTCTTTGGGGTCTTTCCTGACTCACTGGAGACCAGGCCAGCCTGCACCGACTTCCCCAGGAAGGCAGAGGGGTGTGGGCAAAGGACGCAGTTTTTCCCTGGGGAGCCAGGGGCTAGTAGCCCCAGCCTCTCCCCTTGACTCTGCTGGTGCTAATAAGTCCAGGGTACACTTGTTTGTTCCATTCACCCCCGAGCTGGGGGAGCATGACCAAGTCCCAACAGTGAGGCCAATGCCCACTTCACAGGAACACACCATGCTGTCCCACCAAGTCCGTGACCTTGTCAGAGCTCAGTGGGAGCCCCTCTGTAAACCCTTCCTCCCCTGTAGCGACACCCACTAGGGCTATCTTCCCCAGGCCTGGAGTGCTTTCCACCTCGCAGATGAGGTTGCCGAGACCAGAGCAGCGGTAGAAAGGGCTGGGTGAAGGGAGGGGACGCTGGTCTCCTGGGCTTTAGTCCCAGGAGTGCTGAGATGTCAGTCCTGCCCCTTCTCGCCCCACAGGTGAAAGCTCTGGGCTATGACGGCAACAGCCCCCCATCAGTGCCCTCCTGGCTGGACTCCCTGGGGCTGCAGGACTACGTGCATTCCTTCCTGTCCAGTGGCTACAGCTCTATTGACACTGTGAAGAACCTCTGGGAACTGGAGCTTGTCAACGTGAGTGCGGCCTGTGCTCAGGCCTGGCCTGGCCCCCAAGGGTGTGGTCCGGGGGTGGGAGGGGAGCTGTGGGCGCCGGCACCGCCTGACTGTCCCCCCCCCCGCCCCCGTCCAGGTCCTGAAGGTCCATCTCCTCGGCCATCGCAAGCGCATCATTGCCTCCCTCGCAGACAGGCCCTACGAGGAGCCGCCTCAGAAGCCCCCACGGTTTTCCCAGCTGAGAGTGAGTTGGGGAGGGATGGAAAGGGATAGGTGTGCTCTTCATATTGCTAGGAATCAAAGAGAATTCTTGAGGCATTCTTTGGAAACAGCATGACCTCCGTAGTAGAGGCGGGAACGATCCGTCCCCTCTTGTCGGGGCCATTCTGCCCCCGGGCCCGGTGTGTGAGAGGAGCACAGAGCAAGAGTTGTTTGGGCTGGTTATTTATTGATTATGTGCCTCCTGTCTACATCCAAGAAGCCTGACGGCACCTATAATAAAGGGTCCAGTTTAAATATAAGTAGAAAGTAAAATGTCAGAAAAAGTAGGAAAACAAATATCCGAATCCCAGCCGCTGTGACAGAGCCGGGGGGCAACAGGGCGCAGTCTGATGTGAACCCGAGACAAAGCTGGGGATCCATGGCAGGACCTGTGCCCTCCCCAAGTCTTCTGAAGTAAAAGCCCTGCAGCGGGGTGGGTTCAAGAAGCTTCGACTTGAAAAACTCACAGATGCTTTGTTGCTCAGGCTGGGTAATCCCTGACTGCAGGTTAGATGCGGGCCGAGCTGAGGTTCGGCTCCGTTCCGAACCTGCAAGCCTGAGCCCCTGACAAGCGCTGGGCTCGGAGCAGGGCCCCCTGCACTCCGCCCGTTTTCGGCAGCCTCACCCAGAGGGCGTCATTCTATCCTGCCTTCACCCAGCAGCCTGGTCTGAGGGGCAAACGCACCACTGACTCTCAGTTATAGAAACCGCGGAGACGGGGCCTCAGGGTGCCGACTGGCCGCACTGTGTATTTTCTCAAGCAAGGGCTCTGGATTTGGTCTTGTGCCCCAGGGAGCTGCAGTGAATTGTAACAGATGATTTGGCCTTTGATGCGTACGAAAGCAGCTTCCCAGCCCTGTAATCGTCCTTTTCCCCCAACGGCTCCAGGCCGAGGAGCGTGCTAGTGACGTGGGGCTGCCCGTGGTGGCTGTGTGCCCGCAGGACTGGGTCGCCGGGGCTTCCTGGCTCTGGGAAGAGTTTGGTTGCTTTGACGGTACCTGGGCTGGGCTCCCGGGCTGGGGTAGCCGCGGGGGCGTGGGCCAGCGTGCCATCCATTCGGTGCCTGCTTGGTGTTGGCTCTTAGCTTCATGTCCATTCTCACTGACCCACCTGCCCTAACTCGCCCCAGGACTAGCTGACACCCACAATCCAGGGACTGGCCTCCTGGGTTCCAAGCGTTACTGGATTTCCCCCCACTACAGTGCCAAGACTTGCTCTCCCAGACATCGTCCCCGCTGAGCCAGAACGACTCCTGCACCAGCCGCTCCGCTGACCTGCTGCTGCCTCCTGGGGACACGGGCAGGAGGCGGCACGACAGTCTTCATGACCCTGCGGCACCTTCTCGAGCGGAGCGCTTCAGAATCCAGGTGGGGCCAGAGGGGAGCTGTGAGTGGGGGTCCCCAGAGCCCTTCACTGCCCCCGTGCCCCCTGAGGTGGAAGCTGGGGTGGGGGCAGGGGGGTAGGAGGCCACGAAAATCCAGGCGCCTGGATCAGCAGCGGGAGGAAGACACTGCCTCCTCCCCTCCCGGGGGTGGGGGGCTCCCCTGCATCTTATGTGGCTCAGAAGTTCAGATCCACTGGCTCCTCTTTGACTACGGCCTCTCCTTCCAGCCCCTCAGGCCACCAGCCCGGTTTCTGCCCCATCTCAGCCACTTCTTGGTCCCTCGTTTGCTTGTCCTGCCTGTTCCCCAGAGCAGCTTTCGGCCCTCCTTAACTCCACACCCTGCACCCCGCCTGCCCAGCAGAACCACAGCCTGAGTCAAACTCTGTTCTTCCTACTGCATTTCTGCAGCCCAGCGTCGGGTGAAGCTGGGAGACACATCCAGCCATGCCGTCTACCCTCCCAGACCCCCCAGCCTCTGCTGGGCCCTGGGCTGCCCTGTAGCCCTTGCCCGAGGCTCGTTCCAGCCCGCAGTCCTCACTCGCCTTCTCAGGGCCTTGTGTTCCGGGCTCCTGATGTATTCACTTGCCCTGCCTCCTGCCTCGCACCCAGATTCCAGGCTTTGTGTCTTGTCCCCCAAATTGGCCTGCTCGACACAAGATTGGCACGTGTCCCTCACTCCCCACCCCCACCCCCAGCCAAGGAGAACTTTAGTTTCACTGTTTTTTTTCTCCTGACTCAAACTCCTCATCTCCAGCGCCTGGGGATGTCCTTCACGTTTCCACGGGCACAGCCATGAATCTGACGAGATTTCAAAGCATGTTGTCCAGCCGTTTTAGTTGCTCCGTATCAGAAGGCTTCCGCACAGTGCTGGGAACAGAAGTCATAAATATTTCCTCTTTTCTCGCCTCCCCATTCTTTCGACCAGTGCCCTAGTGGGGGCCCCCATCACCTGGCACCTGGATTTCTGTGGCCTCCTGCCCCCCTTCCCCCACCTCAGCTGCCGCCTCAGGGAACACTATAAAAGGCCTCCCTAGCACCGATACCTGCCCGCCCCAGAATCAGATCCAGGGGCCCTGACTTGGATATGAGACTTGCAAGGATCTGACTCCTGCTCCCCACCCTTCATGCTTTGAGCTTGTTTTCCCCTCTCTGGTTTTATTCATTTCCTGTCTCCACCTCAGAGCCTTCCCGACTACGCCTGCCCTCAGGTGGCCTAGGCCCCTGCCTCCCCACCTTCCCTCTGGCATGGATAGGCATCACCTCTGCCACAGGGCACCTGCTTGGCTTTTTGTCTCCTGCCCTCCCCACCTGCCCTTGAACCCCTGTGGCTGGCTTCTTTGCCCTTGGGTGTGCTGGAGCCCACGAGTTCTCTGGAGTGGGCAAGCAGACCTGTGACCCCACGTGTTCTACAGGAAGAGCAGCGCGAAGCCAGACTGACCCTCCGGCCCCCTAGCCTGGCTGCTCCCTATGCCCCGGTGCAGAGCTGGCAACACCAGCCAGAGAAGCTCATCTTCGAGTCCTGCGGTTACGAAGCCAACGTGAGTTGCCCCTGCACTCCCAGCCTGGCCGGCCTCCCTGCTGCCTGCCCGCCCCGGCCGGGTCCAGGCCTCCGGTGCTGTTCTCCGCTCCCGAGGGGTCAGGGGGGCCTCCCAGCCAGGATCGGGGAAGGGAGTGAGGAGAGGAAACCATCTGATTATGGTCCCAAATCGGTTGGGTCGCCCCGCATGGTAGCGCAGGACGTCCTAAACCCGCTTACTGCCTGCTCCCTCAGTATCTGGGCTCCATGTTGATCAAAGATCTTCGAGGGACAGAATCCACACAGGACGCCTGTGCCAAGATGCGGGTAGGTTGTCAGCGGGGCGGGGGGCGGCTGGCGGGGATGGGAGGCATCCCCAGGGGCACCGGCTGCAGCCCCTGGGCCCTCCCACACCGTGTAAGGTCAAGTGGAGGCTGGGGCCTGTGGGATCCCAGGGGCTTGGCCTTGAGAAGGGGCATTCACAGTCCCACTTCTTGTTTCCCCTAGAAATCCACCGAGCACATGAAGAAGATCCCCACTATCATCCTGTCTATCACATACAAAGGTGTCAAGTTCATCGATGCCTCCAACAAGGTGTGTTTGTCACAACTCTGTTAGCCAGAGTGGACCCCTCTCCCCGCCCCTCACTCCCCAACCCCCCCGAGCTGCCTACAGTGTCCCCAGCCCTCTTTATTCCCCTGTATTCCTGCCCCTCGGCCAGGCGCTTGCCTCTCAGCAGGCACACGTCCTGACCCCGGGGCCCCGCCCTAGGGACAGACAGCATGGGTTCCATCAGCACTCTTACCTGCCCCCGGGCCCTTAGTGGTGTGATTCTGTTCACGAGCAAAGGACGCCCCCCCACACCCCACACTTGGTACTCCCCCCACCTCCCCCAGAGGGCAGAGGGGCTGGAGAGCTCGTGGTCAGATGTGAACATTTGACGCCCTCCATTGCTGTGGTGGAGGGTGGAGACCCCTAAACCCACCTTGGCAGAGTTAGACACTGCCCCCACGCCCACCAGACAAACAAGAGAAGTAGCGGCCGTGGGCTAACAGCCTGGGCTGGGACAAAGAAAGGTGGCGGTGGTGGTGTAAATGGGCTGAGGCTGCCTTGAGGCCGAGAATTCCAGACCCTGCTTTCCCTGGCAGAACGTCATTGCAGAGCACGAAATCCGGAACATTTCCTGTGCGGCCCAGGACCCAGAGGACCTCTGCACCTTTGCCTACATCACCAAGGACCTGCAGACCAGCCACCACTATTGCCATGTGTTCAGCACGGTGGATGTGGTGGGTGGGGCCCTGCAGCTGGGCGCCGCCGGAGGGGGCCGCGGGCGGGCAGCCTCAGTGCTGTGCTGTCCCGGCACGTGGGTGGCACCTGGCTCATGTCTGGTTCAGGCTGAGGCCCCAGCAGCCGTCGGGGCCAGTCCCCCTTTTTTTTTTTTTATTGGTTTATTTATTAGAGAGAGAGAGCACAAGCAGGGGGAAAGGGAGAGGGAGAAGCTGACTCCCCGATGCGGGGCTCAGTCCCAGGACCCTGGGATCATGACCTGAAGCCGAAGGCAGACACTTAACGACTGAGCCACCCAGGCGCCCCCAGGCCAGTCCTCGGTAGACAGTGATGAGACTGAAGCACAGAGAACGGCAGCTCGGCCGCTGTTCTAGCCAGGGCTTCCCTCCCCCAGGCTGCTTGTCAACCCACCACCCCGTTCCCCACCCTCCAGGGGCCGTCTCCCTGAAATGCTCTCTACCTTGCTCTGGGGGGCAGCAGTGCCCTCCTGACAGGAGGCTGCCTTCTCCCACGTTCAGGCTCCGGCTGGGCCCACAGGGACAGCGGTGCAGCAGGGACTCCCCCTGCCCTGAGACAAGGCCCCAGGCCCTCTCCTCACCCCCAGGCTTCTGTCCAGACCCCTGCTGTCCTGGGGGAGAGTAGCTACTTCCCCAATCTCTGGGGCTTCTGGAACACAGACGGCCAGGCATTCTCAGCCCCAGGAAATCCGTGCTTGCTCTGGGCCTGGTGTCATACTCCTGGGTCTGCCACTTGCTAGCTGTGTGGTCTTAGGAAGTCACTCGCCCCGGCTCCTCCCTGGCTGAAGAGAGACTATAATGGGAGCAGCTGTGTGGGGTTTGTTTTGAAGGTTAAATGGGGTCATCTACCCCATACTCGTAGTTCCTGGCACTTTGACCTAGAGCTCCCATTTTCCACAGACAGTCACTTCTGCAGTAACACAACACAACACTCCCAAAGATCAACATACTACATAAAATGCAGTAAAAAGCAGGGTTTGTGGGCAGATGGGACTCGGGGCACCACACTCAGAAACTTGGTCAGTGACACATTAGAAAAGATAGGAACCTAACAAACACACTGGCGCCACTCTGTTCCCATGAAATGGTTGAGAAATCCAGAGCTGCGGCGGTCAGCCCGGCCCTCTCCCTTGAGAGAGACCTGGAGCGGACTTGTAGAAGGTGCAGGAAGGGGAACACAGAGGGCTGGGAGAGGAACAGTACCGCGGGGAGGGTGTGGGGGCCAGGCCATCGGCCCCGGGGAAGCCGAGCTACCAGGTCCCCTGGTGTTTCTGTCCACGACATTGTGCTGGGGAAACAAAATGTGTGTGACACTCAGACTGCTCCTGACGTCTCAGTCACCTTGGGACAAAGCAGTGTTTGGAAAACAAGTGTTCTGGCAGAATTGGCCGAATTTCTCCCGTTAGCCATCCCGGTGCCCCACCCCTACCTGTGCTCAGGGCTGTGAGGCCTGGTGGGGGGGCGGTTTCGAGCCAAGGGGTGAGGTGGCTCCTCGGTCTCAGTGCTGAAGTCATGCTCTGTCTCCTCCCAGAATCTGACCTACGAGATCATCCTGACGCTGGGGCAGGCGTTCGAGGTGGCCTATCAGCTGGCCCTGCAGGCCCAAAAGTCCCGGCCCCTGGGGGCCTCCGCCGCCGAGATGATCGAAACGAAATCTTCCAAACCGGTGCCTAAGCCTCGGGTCGGCACGAGGAAGTCAGCAGTACGTGAACCCGCCGGGCCTCAAGGGCGTGGGGTGGAGCGGGCAGCCAGAGGGCCTCCTCAGCCACAGGCAGCCGGCCCTTCGGAACCAGCCGCCAGCTCCTCTCCTGTCCTCCCCCCAGCCTCAGGCTGCAGCCCCCTCCCTCGCCAGGCACCCCCGGGGCTGGCCCGCAGCGAGCCCCTAATAACGCCACCCCGTGTCTGTGTCTGCTTTGCTCTGCGCCCCAGGTGCCGCCGCCCCCCGATAGTCGCTGTTGTCACTGTCACACCTGCACCACCCATCGTCCTTCTTACCTACCGCTGCCGTCTGTTAGTCCTGGAGTCAAGGTCTTTACACCTCCTGCTGTCTGTGTGTCAGTCTCCCTGAAGTGACCGTGAGCTTTCTGAGATGCTAGTGGCCTCCCCTCACCCCCCCGCCTGCGTGACATTCTTTCCTGAGCCGCCCTCCTGCCATCCCTGTCTGTGCTTTAGCTCTCTGTTTCTCTGTGTGTCCTCTCTGCCGAAGCCTGGGGTGTGCTCTCAGGCCCCGCCCGAGGGACCCGAGGCTTGGGGTTTCCCAGCCCCGCACCCCCTTCCTGCTGCCGTGAACAGGTTTGGGGCTCAGAGCACGACGCTCGGGTCAGGCAAGGCTCCTTTCCCTGAGCAGCTCTGAGAAACCCCTGGGAGAAGTCGCCCCTGAAGAGGCCTGGAGGTGGCCCTCCCACAATGCTCCGGGGAGGGCGCCACTCCTGCCACCCCAGCCCTAGGGGGCTTGCTCTTTGAGGAGAACAAGGGCCGCCGCTCATGTCCCTCATGCTGGCACAATGCCAGCACGGCCCTGGGCAGGAAGAAGGGATAGCTGAGCCCCGTTGCCCCCCCGCCAGGCGCAGCGCTCCTTCTCTGACCCCTCACCCTTCTTCCTTGGCAGCTGGACCCACCCGATACAGACCCAGATGCCCAGTCCCACGCCAGCGTCTCCTGGGTGGTGGACCCTAAACCAGACTCTAAGCGGAGCCTCAGCACCAAGTATGAGACCACTATCTTCTAACCGCTCACTCCCTGTCTCCACTAGTCTCACTGTGCCTTGCCATCCGACCTCTGCTCTTCTCAGCTCTCCTTCCGGCTGCTGACGCCAAGGCCCCGGCCCCGGGGGGGGCCCTGCTCTCCCCCCCGCCCCCCGCCCGGCCCGGCAGCAGCTCTAGACACCACACGCACAGCTTGTACCCAACATCACCGGACACTGTGAAGTCCCCGCCTCGGGCGAGGACAGCTTGGCGGGGGAGGGGGGTGAGTCGCCTTTGAGGTGGGCACCAGGAAGCCTCGGCGGGCAGGCACTGTGAATCCTGGGGGCAGGGGCGGGGCGCAGTCTTCGAGCAGAGTCCACCAGTGAGCACCCCTCTGACTAGGCCGGGCTCTGCTCTCCTCCCGTCTTCTATGCCGAGCCGCAGCCGGGCGCCGCCGCCTAGAGCGAACCGTCTTTTTGCACCTTTCCTGACACAACCAACCACTGTGACCCCGTGGTGCCAGAATCCCCTTGCAGCCCGCGCCCGGCCGGCCTGCGGCCCCGTCTGTCCCTCCTCTGCCACCGGGTGCCGGCCTCCCTCCTGTGAGAGCCCAAGCTCCGCGCCATGGCTCGCCTGGGGCCAGACTGCCTTCCGGGAGGGCCCAGGGGCCCGGCGCACAGGCCTGACTCCGCAGCATGGAGCTCTGAGCATCTGAACCCCCACGGGCTGGCTTCCCTCAGCAGGTCTCCTGGTCCTGCGGAGTCTTGCGCTCCCGAGGAATGGGGTGGTGTGTGTGTCTGTGTGTGTGTGTGTGTGTGTGTGTGGTCGGCCCCTCCTGTCTTCGCCAGGGGGTCGCAAGGCTGGCTGTGGAGTCTAGCTCACCGAGGAGGAAGGCCTTTCTGTGGGACCCAGTGAGAGGGAGGCCTGGGCCCTGCACACACGCTGCACCTTCTTCCCTCACAGAACCCAGCCGCTCGAGGACAGGGACCCGGACCAAGCAACTCCCCTTGTCCTCCCAGGACTTGCCGTCACTGCTCTGCAGTGTGGGGGTCAGAGATAGTCAGCCCCGCTCAGCCTCCAGCGTGCCCTGAGAGGGGAGGCTGTGGATCGTGGAGCGGAGGCTTTGAAGAAGCCTCCTGGTCTCCGGTCTCCGGGGAGGGCCGGTCAGCTCAGCTGGCGGGAGACAGGAAAGCACGCCGCCAGCACAGCGTAGGCCGGTAGAGAAGCCTAGAGAAGCCGGGAGCTCGCGGTGGTGCCTGGAGAGGCGGAGGCCAAGGTGATAAAGCGGGCTGGGTGCCCCTGCCCGCCTGCCTGTCCTGGTGCCTTCCCGAGCCACAGGCGCTCAGGGGAGGCTGTGAGGGACCTTCCTTCGCTTCCATGCTTCCTTTCAGTTTCCTCCACCCTGTGCAGGCCCCTGTGGTTAACCCTTTCCTCCCCCCGTTGTGTTTGCTTCTGCCAAGCTGAGCCACTGAGGAACCAACTGTGCTGCGGAAACACAGACGTGGGGAGCACAGGCTCCCACCGCCGCGGCCCCCACCACCACCGCCGCCGCCGCCACCACTGTGTCACCTGCAGCTTCGAAGACCCAGGCCCGGCCTCTGCCGGGAGCAGCTCCGCGGGGCTCCTTGGCCTGGACCTGCCGCCACCAGGTCTTACAGAGCAAGCCGCAGTCCAGGCCTCGAGCGGATGAGACTGGAACTACAGAGAGTCAAGAAGTGACTTGGTCAGAAGACATTTTTTAATAGAAAAAAATTTTTTTTCTAGAAAACGAATTTTTAAGACTCGGCTCAAACCTCTCGGTTAAACTGCCAATCTTTAGACAGACGGCCACGGGATCGGAGGACAGGGGCGCCCCAGAGCGGCTCCGAGGCCGGCCGGCGCCGCCTTCTGCCCCCCGGGATGGGCCATTGGCGCGGTCCGGGAGGCTGTAGGGGGGGGCAGTGGCCTGGGGGCGAACGGAAAGCAGGCCCAGGTGGGTTTGTTCGAGTCTGCCTTTCAAACCCAACCAAGTCAGTTGCTGTTCCTTACAAACCGCACAACTTCTTGTCCCCATCCGGAGCCGGACGCTGCCTCTGCAGCAAGAACAGGTCTCAGACGCACCTGGCAAAAGCAGAGACTCCGGTCCGTGTCTGGGGTTCCAAATGTGAAGGTCCAGGGGACAGACGGAGCCCAGCGAGCTGTGCCCGGGGCCATGAAGTCAGGGCCGCTCCTCGGCGCCCGAGCTGGCGGTGCTCAGAGCGCTGGGTCACGCACTCTCTGGCGACCTCAGACTGCCTGGGTTCAGTCAGAAAGAAGAAAAAGCAGCTTTGTTTCGGGCATTAATGGGTAGGTCGGCTAAGATGGCTACCTGCCAATTTGTGATTTGTCTAATCAGGTCTGTGTGATTAGGACTCGCTTTGATTCCCTGAATTATTGGTTTGACTGTTGTATTTTCAGCTGCTGGATTCATCCCTGGCTCCAGGTGTAGAGAAGGCTAAATAAGGTGACAGTTGATTCGGTTCTCCCCCAGTGTGGCCTTCAGGGCCGACTGGGGTCCTGGCACACCACTGCCACTTAAGGGCTCCTGCTGGCTTGCTTCGCTTGTTAACTTAGACTCTTGCTCTGTGCTCCTGAGGGTGGTAGAAGCAGACAGGGTAATTCCTGTGAGGCCGAGAGGCAGAGCCGGCTGTGGTGCTGGCCCAGTATCTTCCAGAGTAGGGAGCAGAGAGGAGCCCTTCCTCCCGTGGGCAATTCAGCAGACCTCATGCTTTGCCGGCACGGGGCGGGCTTTGGCGGGACTTCTTTCCCAGCAAAGGCTGTGAATTGGAATTCCCTGCGGGTTCCGTGCACAGAGAGTGCTCTTGGGCGCACTCACCACTGCAGTGGTGGCCAGGAACAGAAAGCCCGGCCCCGTCCTCCCTCCCGCTGCCTCAAAGCTGGGCCCTAGGGGCAGCACCTCCTCTGGAGCAGGGGCAGGGAAGCCTCCACTTTCCGGTACTAAACAAGGACCTCAATGCCTGAAGTCTGGCTTTGCTTCCTGCTTCTCCCAAGGCCCAGGAGCCTCCCGTCAGCTCCCGCCACGCATGTTCTGTTCCCCCACCACCACCACCACCAACCCGCTGGCCCGCGAGAATTGACCAGGGAACCCGAAGGGTGGGCGCCCTCCCCTCCTCTGTGGGGGCCTGGCCTCAGCTAAGTGCGCCTCTCCTCTCTGGAGGCGGCAGGTCCAAAAAGCAAACTGTAGACACTACGATGAGCTGTTCGAGCCGTCTTTTTGTTTTTAAATCACACGTAGGTGTTTCCTCCCCTTGAAGCTGCTATATCTTTATTTATTCAGGGTGTTGTCATATTGGAAAGCCTTAGCTAGTCCTCTCTGGCTCTGGGTTTGCTTTTGAGATTGGTTTATTTACGAATAGTTGAGAAGGGTAGGGACTGGATCTTTCTTTCCTTTTTACTTCTCCTCCGGGGCAGGTACTCTCTCTCCCCTCGAAAGGGGCGGTGTAACTTCAAGGACAGGCTTCGAGCAGAAAAGCCCCCGCTTCTGCACCAGAGTTCCACGGTGGGGTCTGAGCTGTGCGGCAGGGGTGGCGGGGGGGCGGCTAGGCAAGGACTTGCGAGGGAGTCAGTACCTTCCCCGGCCCCAGCCCCCAGCTTTTCTGCTCGCCGCTCTGAGCCATAGAACCCCTCCTGTCGGGCTCCGCGTCTGCCATGCTCCACATGCCTCCTGGGTCTCTAGCCTCAGATTCTGGCGGCCGTTCCTCGAGAAGCCTCTGGCCGAGCAGGCAGCCATGGTGGTGGCTGCCGCTCCGACAGTAGAAAGCTCGTCTGTCCTTGGTCCGCCTGCGAGAGGCCCAGGCCTGCGGCATGACCGTCAGAAGCAGCTCGCAAAAGTGTTGTTGCTAACGGGGTGGCAACGGGACTGAATTGTAATAAAAATGTTATTTAATCTTTGTCTCTGTATTTTGATACTTGAATGAATTCCCCTTTTATTTTACTGTACATATAATTGTTAATCTGTCCGATTTTGTCCGAATTACAAACATCTTGTGGTACCAAACAACGAATCTGCGCAACAATGTAGACTGACCTCACGACACGAGAGAGAGTGTAAATATTCCTGGGCTTCCAGCTTCGGTTTGGTTATTTTCATAACTGTACAACCTAGAACAGACGGAATTAATAAATGAGAAGCAACATGAAACCAGCCTTCCTTTTTGGGAGTTTTTGAATTGGAAAGCTTTTTGATGGTTCTCTGGCAGCAGTGCAAGCCCGGGCTATAGGCTGTCAGCTGGCTCCGGGTCGCTGACGCAGGTCCCGCACTGTCAGGGACGAGTGTGGGGATGCCGCTCTGGCGCACTTCCAGCGGGAAGCTGCCAGCAATGGGCCGTCCGCTCACCCCGTTTAGTTGCAAGGCCTCTGTGCTTCAGCTTCCCCTCCTTAGAACATCTCCTCTGAATCCCAAGCAGGGGCCTCATGCTGGCCATGGGTCCTCTGCATCCTTGTCTGGGCTTGTCGACCCACAGACATTTATCCGAATGTCTGTACAAGGCAGTGTTGGAGGATCGAGAGCTGTGAAAGAAGAGTGCCCCCTCAAGGAACTTCCTTTGATTGTGGAGATTACATCTGAGACACGCACAACTAGCTACTGACCCAAAGCCACACTGAGGCCACACCGGGCGGTGCCGTGAGCATCCAAAGGCACCCGGTGCTCCTGGAGCTGAGGTGGGACAGGGAAGGAGGGGCTGGTGCCTGGGCTGGTATTGAAAGGGGAGGGCTTGGAAAGGCACGAACGGTACTACTAGCCCCTTCACTGACGGCATCTGGGCTCCAAACCCTGCTAGCAGCTCTCCAGGCACCCATCTTGAGTTCGCTCTGACAGCTTTCTGGGTATGGTCTCTATAGAGAAAGCAGCCAAGGCTCAGAAAGGTTACCACACCTTCCCAGGGCCAGCTGGAGAGGCCTGAGAAACTGTGCCCTCCAGTGGCTTCCAGCCTCCTCAGAGGCCCAGGTCCCATGCCTGCCTCCACCCAAGCTGCCTAGCGCTGAACACTTAGAGAGAGAGAGAGAGAATATGGGGGGGAGGGGCAGAGAGGGAGAGAGAATCTCAAGCAGACTCCACGCTGAGCGCAGAGCCAGATGGAGGGCTTGGAGCTCCATCCCATGACCCTGAGATCATGACCTGAGCCAAAATCGAGAATAGGACACTTAACCAACTGAGCCACCCAGGCGCCCCAGCACTGAACACTTATGAGTTTCTGTGAAATATTCTGTTTGTCAAGGGCTTTAATAGTGAAAATCACTAGGGCGCCCGGGTGGCTCAGTTGGTTAAGTGTCT